AATCTCCTAAAGGTATGTAAATCGTCTGAGGTAAAAGAATCTGCAAATCTATACTATTATATGCTAAATTTGTTTGTCCTAAACGTATCATTATAAATTTATTTTCTTTGTATGAAAAACTCTGCAAAGTAGCTGCAACAATCTATGACGTTGATACAGATTAGGGATGATATTATTTTGATTTTCTAGGTTGTAACAACAAGAAGGTTTATTCCCCTCTAAAGAAATTAAAAAATTGAATGGGGAGGAGACTGTTACAAGCATTTAGTGGTGTTAAATATGCATATCCAAAGTAACTCTGTTTCACCATGGTATTACTACTATCTCTAAATATAATTGACCGATGGTCAACCAGATTAAATACTTTTGGTCATAATGTTCTAGTTGGATTTTTATGTCTTTACTAAAGATTCAAAATCCATTTACTGGTTAAGGATGCTACTGATGAATCTCAATTCCTGTTATTGGATTCACTTGCAACATGAGTTATTCATGAGCCTCCTACAACTCTACTAAACGGTTCTTGGGATGAAGTTAGTAGTTTTATCAATTCTTGCAATTAAATTGTATATTGTAAAGGAAAATACTATATCACATCTTATACTTGACAGCTAGATGATGATGATCCATTCCCCAAGGCAATTACAAATTTGGTTGGACAGACATTTATATTTGGAGTTTACATTAGAAAAACAATGCTTCAAGAGGTGCTATAAAGTTGTAAATGTATGGAAAGACCTACGTATGCTAATGACAAATGAAATATCAGAGAGCTATTATCTCCAACCCAAAAATCGAGGTAAAATATTGTAATAAATATTTTATGATTAAAGGTTGAACGTTACTGAATAGTTAATCCCTACACGTGTTATCTAGAAGCCAATGTTACTTGAAGCTCAAAATGATGATATTGTTTCTACTCCTTCTTCCAAGCGCAAATAAGACAATAAGCAAGCACCCGAACTTCAGTCTACATCTAAAAATCAGTAAACTAAAGCGATCAAAATCGAGAAGACAAGAAAGGATAACTCTGGATTGAGTTAAACAAGATTCTGTTGTTGTTTTGTTTCTGGTTTTTGTAGGATTTTTTCAATTTCCCGTTTTCTATATTGCTGATTTTCAATAACCGTGTTGGTTTTTTTTCTTTAAGATTGTTGAGGATTAATTTTTATATTTGGTTATAATAAATGTTTCATTTTGCGTTTCATTCTATTTACTGACCAAACTTAGTATCACAATACCTACAAAACACGACATATAGTATTGATACCATGTATACCAGAAAACCTAACGCCTTTGTTTGATTCCTATATAAAAAAACACAAAGATTTTTGTCTACAACTATTTTCTTTCAGTCTCAGATTTAGAGTTACCTTTTACTCTGAATTCATAACTTTTTCTTCTCATGCGCTTCATGTATCTCATTTGTCCCTTATTCCTTCTTTTTTTATCTGTAAATATAAGATAATTAAAATTTAAGTAATACCAATGAACAATCACACTATTGTACAATTTCTTTTATACTAAAATATTCAGAAATTACGCCTTAACATTTACAATAATGTCAATTAAATTAGAAATATTCTCAAGTACATTTAAACAACACGTTTCCTAAATAGTTGGGAGAAAGAATCTTTAATTAATGTTAATAGGTATAACCAATGTTAGACGTTATCTCCTATAATATTCACTAAAATTCTAAGGATTAGATTTCATCCATTGACGACAAAAAGTTTGCACCTATGGCTGACGAGAACACCAATAGCAATGGCATAAATCCGACTGAATCATCTATTCAGAAAAGGAAGATAATTTATGCTTTCTTAACGGACTGAAATTAATAATACTCCGCAAGTTAGGCAGACGAGATCTAGTATTTTGCCTTTAAAAAAAATTTTCTGTACGATCTTGGCTGATGTGATCAATACATTTCATACTTCACCAACTACACCACAATCTAAAGTTTTTAATCATCTGTTATCTGGATCACACTCCATTGATGAGTCAAGTAGTAATATTGCTTGGCTCATTTTTACATTTTTATGTCTGTTTTGTGTATGGCTAAATTTAGTATTTTACATACTCTTATCAGTTAAACCTAGAGGAAATACAAACCAAGAATTTAAGAAGTTGAAACCTTAATTAAATACCTCTGGTACGATTTCAATAAAACAATTAACAAATTATGATAAGCTCAACACTTTGTATTCTAAGAATCTGCTTATTACATGTATGGAGCTTGGTTGTATAAATCTGAATTTATTTAAAGGTATTATAAATTCGGTTTCTGTTTCTATCAAATTTATCATCTATGATCAATACTGTTTTGACATATTTTTGTGGAAGACCAAGATTCACAGATTTATGATATTAGCTCTAAAGAGGAAGATACGAATATGATAATAATTCAGAGTAAAAGATAGAATGTGTGCGTCAACAAGATCATAATGTTCCAACGGTTCCTGATGAGCAAAGAGCTCGGATTCTGAGTATAACAAGTATGTTTAAGACTATGTTTCAAGATAAACCTGTTAAGAAGGGATGGTATGTATCCAAACACACTGGTAATCATTTATCAAACAGTTTATGATAACACAATTTTTATACAGTTTTTAACTTAGTTTTCAATATTTTCAATTATTATTCAGTTTAAAAGCCTAAGAAAAAGTCAGCACCTCCTAAGCCGTACTTGGGTAATACGTTACAGTTTTTTTACATATTGTTTTACTATGTTGTCGGTTAAGTTTATAATGTCAAAATCTCCTGTTGTTTTAGGTCTAGGATATATTAATGAAGGTGATCCAATCCATAAATGTGAACACTGTGGTGCCATACAGTGGTACGGTGAACACATTGAGAAGAAACGACATACTAAGAAACCTAAATTTTCTTTGTATTGTGGACAAAGTAATGTTCAGTTGCCGTTACTTAAGCAACCACCAGAAATTCTATGGAAATTGCTAAACGATGACGATGAGATCAGAAAATACTATCTGGAGAACATCAGGAAAATAAATATGGTTTTATCATTTTCATCTCTCGGTGGTAAAATTGATCGACCGGCTCCGCCAGGGCCTGGACGAAGAATGGTTGTTTTTCAAGGCGAGAATTATCACTTAATTGGTAGTTTAAAACCACCAACATGATGAGATCCTAAGTTTGGACAGCTCCATATTGGGGACACTGTAAACAAAATTCTGAACATTACATCTGTTATAGGGTATTTTAAATTTAAGTGTTTGTCTATTTATCAAACATATTTGACTCGCTTACAAAACCTTTTTAACGCTATTATCCGACAGTTTTGTAGCAGAAAATATAAAACAAAGCGTGAGAAGGGTTAAAAGAGAGAGACAGAGGAAACATGTTATTGAAAGGATCATCAAAATGCTGGACGAAGTGAATCTCCATATGTATCGATCTTCCCGAGAAAGTTTTAATACTAATCTAGAAGAAACATTGCATATGAGAATTGTTAGTAACAGAGAAAAAGATGGAAGGACCAATGATACTCCTACTGTATAGAGGTTGCCGCACTGATTCCAAGAGATTTCAGTTTGGACATGTGTAAGGGAGATATTGTTTTTAGAAGAGAAGCAGACATGATGGCTTAAAAGGATCAGTGAAATACATCCATCTTATTTGGCACTTCAATATCCCATTATTTTTACATACGGTGAAGAGAGATTCAGACTAGGTATGAAGAAATGAACAACAGCTGCGACCTCAAGGCAGACTATCAGTATGAGGCAATTGTACGCTTTCCGACTTCATGAAAGGGAGAATGAGTGTCATACTCTTCTACATTTTAAGAGGTTTTTCCAATAATTCTTGATCAATTCCTACACTACGATAGAATCTAACAAACTACGTTATCTGTGAATGAACCAGAAGTGTCTAAGATCAGATAATTTTGACTCTATCAAAGTTTTTAATCATCCTTTATCTGAATCACACTCCATTCATGAGTCAAGTGGTAGTAGTACTTGGCTCATTTTTACAGTTTTGCGTTTGTTCTGTGTATGGCTAAATTTAGTATTTTACCTACTTTTAACAGTTAAGCGTAGAGAAAATACAAACCAAGCATCTATGAGGTTGAAACCTAAATTAAATACGTCTGGTAAGATTTCAATAAAACAACTAGCAGATTATGATAAGCTCAAAACTTTGTATTCTAAGGATCTGGTCATATTATAGGTTTAACTGAGGTATCCTCACAATGTGATAGCTCTATAAGACAATCTTCACTATCAAGTAAGAGAACATGTTCTGATATTCGACTTACTAATCTATTCAAAGCATTCTCGCACCATTCAAAACCCAAAAATTAAATTGGGCTTTAAGATATTCTAATATTGTTAACTTTAAATAATCCAGCACTAAATTGGTTATTCATACAACTTTAAAAAATATCCGAATGTCTTAGAAATATCCAAATATCCAATAATTTTTTTTTGTTTGTTATTCATAATTTTTTTTTAAATTATCCTAATATCCAATAATTTTTGTTGTTGAGCAATCGTATATTGGAACATTATAAATATATAATATGATATAAAAAACATAAAAAAAACTGTTCACTTACCATTGAAGATTTACGATTGTGTCCACTAATCGACACATCCTAATACTTCTCTATATAAACACTATCTTCACTTTTTCTTACAAAACCTTAGCACCTCTCTTCTTCTCCATTCGTCTCTCCAAATGTCGGTATGTAGTTTTTTTTTATTCTCTCTTTCCTTTTATTTACTAATACATGTTGGTCTATAGTTTGATTTGATATTGCTTTTGTTTGTAAATATTCTTCTATGGGTAGATTTTATGTTTATGTTTTATATTCGATTTTTATAATCTTCTAGAGTTAGATCTAACTGAAAAACACATGTTTTACTGTTATCAACTATTTGATCTTACATCTAGATATTAAATATTTAGAGTTTATTATATTTGCATAATCCTTATATTTTGTTTTGAAACTGATTTTATTGTTTTTGAACATGGAGAAGAATATCTCTCAATGGCAGGAAATCGAGATCTCAAACTCAAGGCTCCAATGGTCGAAGATTATGGCTAATATCCATTGGAGGGTTTCAACAAGGGGAAACAAGAAACCATGGCACATTATAGGGTGCTACTATCTATGTACAAGTAGATGAAGCCATTCAATCAAGGCATGAAGAAGAGACTGAGGTGGTTCGCCTTCAAGCCAAACTCGAGGTTCTTGACCATCTCAATGGGTTGTTTGATCTCATGAATGACAGAGAAAAATTGAGTCTGAGGTTAGGCTTTCCGAAGATAAGATGGATGATGTGAAGGTCCCTCGCATGGATTGGTTCAAGTTGGATGAACCAAAAATGTGGGAAAACATCTTTCCTATCTAAATATCTAATCTTTTGCTTAATTAAAATGTTGCTGTTTTTTTGGTTTAAGGTTGCACCTTCTTTTTCGGTTGTTTACAACCAGTTTTTTTTAATTATGAACCTAAACATATTATGTTTAATATTTATTTGGTAATTTGTTTTCATATCTCATCTTATTTCTTTATTATTTGATTTTGCTATTTATGATTGAGTTTTTCATTTTTTATTTTGATATTATTTTGTTAGTTATTATTTTTGTGATTATAGTTAGAATTTCGTAATCTGTCATTTCTTTATTTAGTGATAATAGTTAGAATTAGAGATTGCGGTGTTAGTTATTATTTTATTAGTTAGATATTAGTAAGTAACTTGTGGTGTTAGATAAACAAGTTTGAAAAAATTAAACATTAATATTTTCTTATATAGAAACCGTGTTTTAGAAGTTATTTAGGCAATCTATGTTTGTAATGATTCACTTTTAAAAATGACAGTACAACTTTTGTAACATGATTGAGATATACTTAATTTTTCATATTATTTTTTTTCTTTTGATATATCTTGTGTTGAAGCAAGTCTAAATATTTTACAAATATCTTAAATTGTTTGTTGAAGTAAATAAAATCTATAGTTTTCTAAAAATATTTATAGATTTGATGAAAAAATATAATTTTATTATTTTAAAGCTCTGTTGTGCTTGGTTATTATTTTATTCCTTAGATTAGATATTACTTGTGGTGTTATATAATGATTTTGAAGTTGGTTCATAAATCATCTTTTAGATAGATAATGATTTGACATTTTTGGGTTGTTATAGAATTTCATAAGTGATGTTGGTATAAGGTAAAAATTTTTATCTTAAGAATATTCGATTAGATTCTTCACATCTTACAATGGTAGTTGAAAGAAATATAATATATAATTTTTTTAAAAATATATGTAGATTTTATGAGGAAAATATTTTTGTATTTAGCACTTTTTGTCACCCATTCGGTCCTGAGTAAAGGGATGCAACTTTCTTCCACCGATGCACTAATCTATTATTTTATAGAAATCGTATTAATAACCCAAATTTAAGGTATCTATGTAAGATAATGATTGTTCTCTTTAAAAGTATCTATACATTTTTTGTGGCATGATAGAAATTTATAGTGATACGTCTGGCAAGAGTAGATGTTTAATACAAAGAGATGATTTAATATTGGGAGAATCAACTACTTATATACTGATATCAAAAATCAATTTAAATTTACTGAGAAAATCTTTTGGTTAACTATATATTGTATACACGATATTTGTTAATAAAATACGGAAATATTTATGTTGCTTCGTCTATAAAATTTATTTAATATCACAATTAATTATTATTTTCCTTAAACTTAAATAATTTTCGCTAACCTACTTTAATTGGATTAAGATTAACTCTTAGAAATTAAAAAAAAATTATTATAATTGTATAGATACTCGCATAATATTCCTTTTTCCACAAAGTAACATATTTTATTAAATCTGTAAAATATTCTGACCTACATTTGCGTAACCTAAATCTGTTGTACCACCTACCTATATAAATATAGCATCAATTAACCACAATATTCATCAAACCTAGATATACATAAAAACTGGCGAACAATATGCAGCTAACTTTCTTGACCGATACCACCCACGTTCTGATTGAAAATACAATGTTCTACAGCTGATTTGAATTAAACAAGGCCAGTGCCGTTGGTGGAAAACTAACTCCAGCTGAAATTTCTACAAGGTTTATTTGGAATAAAAAGAACGAAAGTTTACTGACAAAAAGATAGGATTCAATATTGGGAGAATCAACTACGCTCCACGAAAGATTGATGATGCATTTTATTTGCTTGTCTTGCTGAATATTGTAAGAGGTCTGACATGTTATGAGGAAATCAAAACGTTCAACAGTGTTCTGTATTCGTCATACAAAGAGGCATGCTTTTCTTGGAGTTTGTTAGAAGATGATCAATAATATATAGACGAATGTCTGATATTATTTTAGTTTGTTTTTGGCTTTCTAGAATAATTTATTTTTGTTTCACACTATGTTTTCATCTTTTTCTGAGATTGTTTACTAGTAAAGACTTAAAACCTATTACTATAATTTACAAGGAGAACTTCTTGCACATGCAACCTATAAATCATAAAGATTTGATAAAATAAGATAATTAACAAACTTATAAACTTAAAACACAACTATATGATTTAAAACCCAAATTTCATAACTATTAAAATAAATCGAAAATAAATCTGTGCTTTCTAAGCGCGAATCAAAATCTAGTATATGGTTATAATGAATGTGTTTGTACTTTTGAAGGATATCAGCTAGATCCTTAAAGAACTAGTCAGACAAGATTTATATATTTTAGAAATATCAAGACGTGAAGAGTTAGTCATGGAACACCTAAATACTCCTTTCTAGTCTGGGTGGCTCTTCAAAACAAACTAGCTACAGGAGATACGATTCTTTACTGGAATAGCAATGCTGATGCTACTTGTGTTCTTTTGTAAAGTGGCACAAGAAAGTAGGCAACACTTATTCTTCACCTGCCCTTACTCGGAAAATGTCGTGGGCTGCTACAAGATAAATACACCACGGAATGGACTGCACTTGTGACCTCATTTCATCATCAACTGTTCAACACTATGCCGAATTCGTAGGTATCTTGTGAGGTATGCATTTCAAACCCCAATCTATAGTATTTGGAGGGAGAGGAACTTAAGAAGACATGGAGAGCCACCTCATGGCAACATCAGACTCATAAAGTTGACTGACAAAAGCATCAGAAACCGATTAAGCTTCTTGCAGGAACTAGGAGAACCCACGTTCAGGGAAGCCTAAATACTTGGCTGGGGACAAGATTAATCTTGAGATTTTTTTTACAGGCATCAAAATTAGGTTGATTCCTTCATTTTTAATTTCAGCTAGTCTCTTTCGGAAACAGTAGCACCTGATGTAAAAAGCTTTTGACTGAATAAATTTTATATTCATTAAAAACAAAAGAGTTAGCTGAGGGAGAATACCTCTCCCACAAGGAATCTTGAGCAGCATTTTAGTATAAGCATAAAACAGTTTCTTATTTTAGAAGTCAGTTAACTTGTTTGGTCGATGTGATGGTTGGTCTTATTCAACCAGTTGACAGATTAATCAAAAAGGGCAGTTGCCTAGGCGGTCACTTAGGTGCTAGGTGACCCTCCGCCCCGATTTATGCCAAAACGGCGTGAAAAATTGGTCGTTCTATTTTAGTCTGCCTAGATCACCTAGATAACCGTCTAGCCACCTGGATGACCGCCTAATCTATTTTTTCACTTTTTTATTTTGTAATAATATTTTTATCTATTTATTTAATCTAAAATTTAATAAATGTAACTTATAATCATAATTTTGATGAAAATTACACATTAAGTTTATATATTCTCTTTGCGTGTTTTATCAGGTTCTAAACATGAAAATATATTAGTGTTATACACAATTAAAAATTAACATGTTTTATAACATATCAGATAATCTAAAAGTTCTGCCCCGTATAATCTCTATTTAATCCCTAATTTTTTCTATAGGCGCTAGGCCAAACCATGCCGCCCGACTAGTGCCTAGCGTGTTCTCGAACAGGGGTTTGTGCTAAATAATATTTACTCACTCTACTTAATGCCAACAAGAAATTCACCCTATTTCGTCTGAACAATAATACAAATACATTCAAATAGCATCAAAATAACATTTTTCCTGAAAAATAGCCTACAAAACTAATTGAAAAAAAAAATTTATTGATAGGCTTATTTACTAAATATCAAAAAGGGTAACTTGATTTTTAGTGACAGATAGTAAGAGAAATGACGAGAGAGGTAGTGGTTTTGGTTAGATAGTGAATTTGAGATTTTATAAGGATAGAGGGACAAATTTCCTTTTTGTTAATACTTAAAGTTGTTTTAAGATTATAAATAAATTAAATATTATATTATAATATTTATAATATTTTCAAATCTGAAATATTTTAAAATATAAAATTTTCAAAATCATCTATTCTTACAAAAACATATTTCAAAAATTTAATATTTTTTTATAAAATTGTGGCATTACCATCTTCTTTATAAATTACATAATATTATTTTTCAAATGTTATACATGATGTCAAGTAACATAATCAATTTATTATTGATATTAGTATTTGGACAAAACTTTTATACATTTCAATAATCTTTATATCATCACATCAAAGAAAAAATAAAGTTTATAAATAGAAACGAATCTATATTTAAATTTATTACACAATGTAAGAATAAGCTTAATTAATATTTTATATTATTAAAATTTTATAAAAATATATATCAGAGTTATGTTAACTAAAACTAAGAAATCTAAAATTTATTATATTATATTTTTATAAATAATACAATAGTATAAATTATTATTTCAGAAAATGGAAATAATTTTTATATTAAAATATTTAACATAAAATCAGATAATAAAATTAAACTAAATGAAAACTATATTTAATTAATTGATACCTTTTCAAGAAAATAGTGAACTTAAAAATAATTTTGAGGAAAATATAATTTTATTTTTAAAATATCTCATTTGGACGTTATTATTTCTTCACATGATGTAAAGCCATCTAGGTATAGTTATTGAAAAAGTTTTAAAAGTTTAAATTTACCATTATGCAACATCATCCTTTATTACTATAATTCAACAACTGCGAATTATAAATAACAAACCAAAAAACCAAAAATGTCATAAATATAGCAATTTTGAAAAAAAGAAGTGTTTAAAAAAATGTCACAAAGTATATACTCTCTCTATTTCCTTTTAGTTGTTGTTTAAAGTTTCTCACAAGTAATATTAAGAAAATAAAAAAATTATTCAATTTATCTTGGCTACATAAAAATAAAATTAGACTAAATTCTTTCAACCAATAATAAAATACAAAATTT